CACACACACACACACACACACACACACACACACACACACACACACACACGCGCGCGCGCGCATACACACACACAGGGAAAAAGAGATAGAGAGATAGAGATAGAGAGATAGATAGATAGAGAGAGAGACAGAGATAGAGATAGAGAGATAGATAGATAGAGAGAGAGAGAGAGAGAGAGAATTGATTCAAATATTTATCCTTAAAATTCATCGCTTCCTCCGGTATTTTCTTTCTTTAATAACACAAATTTTTTATTTTGAAACAATTGTTAGATCGCTCGCTTTTTATGGCAAATGAAGTTTTTAAAAAACAAAAGTTTGGAATTTTTCGGCTTTAAAAAAACCTGTAAGAGAATTTAAAAAAAAATCACAGAGTCCATTTAATTTCATTGCACACTTAGGTGTTGCGTATTTATAATATTTTATTGAAAAAGATGACACTTTCAATATTTTCGGCTTTTTCTTCTCTTTTATTATTATTAAATCTGAAGATAGCCTCAAAACAATATTGGAGTCTTAAAAGAAACTTGGAAAGTTTCAGAGATACTGGAAACTTCCTAAACTATTTTCAGAACAATCGAAGTTGATCGATTTTTTTTAATGCTATCTCAATTCTTAAATGTTTGTTGATTGAAGTAGGAGCAGCAGGAAAAATTCTGTTAACGGCTTAGGTAAACTTAAAATGTTTTTATACTGTTTTCTATGCCTTGAAAGCTTCCAGCGTATTACAATTAATAAATATAAGACTATTATATACGCCCTCAGGCGAATTCTGATTATCCTAACTTCGTTTTTTTTACTTCTTCATGTAGCTCCGCTGAAAGCAAAATGCACCAAAATTTAGATCCAAATATTTTGTAGATAATAAAGCAATTGAAGGCAATTATAGGAATCTGGACAAAGTGAAGAATATGCCGTTGATATTAAAAAGCTTAAATGAATTCTTCAATCTTTTCTGCTAAATACTCAGGTCGCTATGATAAGCACGGTTTGCAATTTCCAAATCAATTATTTGTTGTATTTTATCAAATGTTAAACACACTTTTTAAATTTCACCTTTCAAACACGAACGTGTACAACGTAAAAAAGACCCATCTTTTATGATAGCAATCGATTCGAAATTCTTTTTTGTATCGATTTAAACATGTCTAACACAGTATTTGGCAATCTACCCAATGTCTCTTGATATATATTCTCTTAAACTTAGAGATTGTAAGTTTCGAGATATTTCGATATAACTTAGCACACCGACATACTATGGTCCAAGGATGAACGCTTTCAAAAATGCATTACATCGAACCACTTTCACGGGCATTGCTCTTACGCAGCTCGATTTTGCGAAAGTATTGGATGGAAAACTTTTCATTTTTAATGGGAAAAATCTGTGAAAATTAGTAATTATTTGTTCTGTAGTAGTTGCAGGTCCTATTGGCCTAGTTTAAAGCTTTTTAAACGACGGACTTGTTAAATTAGGGTTAATTGATTGAAAGCAAATGTACTGTGTAAAATAAAATAAATAAAACATAATTTGACAATAAAGTAAAGGGAAGTGAAAGTACAATAAAAATGAAAAAAAGCCGGAAAGAAAAAAAGTTAAAACAGAAGCAATCAATGAACGGAATTCCCCAGGGAAATAGTGTAAATGAAGAACTGACGCTAAGACATAACTCATTAGTATTGTATTAGTTTGATGTAATGATTGCTTTGTGTTCGGATAAATTGAAGCCGATAATCTTATGGAGCATACACGTAATCCTGCATTTTACAAAATCGTCAACAAAAACGTTAAGTATAATACCGACATAGATATTAACGCCTTTATTCTTATTGAGAGGAGCAACATACACATAACGGATAGTGAGATAGTCGAATATGTATTCATAAAGGAAAGTTGGGATCAGACGCATGATCTAAGCATATAACTTTCCATATAACTTACCTCTTGTGCTTCTAATTTGATTGATCCATGTTAAAAATCTATTGAAGGTCATCTCTAGGTTCTTTACTGTGCCTATACTATTTCACCATTTTGGCATACTAGATGAATGTCCAAGATTTAGATGCAATAAGATCCTTTTTGGGCCCACCCCCGTCTCATATAAAAGGCTTTATAAAAACCTAACCTTTATATAGAAACTGTTAGTAGTATTAGAAAAGCAAATTCGTCAAGAATAGTAAATTTGTTATAATAAGTTTAGACTATGCTTCAGATCTATTCCCGTGGAAAGTTTCTCATCAAAAGTAAGTCTTTATATACCAGAAAGTATACTTTTTTTTGGCATTTTATATCAACGATAAAAGAGGACCTGCATTGGATCGTTTTGCGTTGCATATTGCATATGATGATAAGCCCATCATACCTAACCTCAAATCCTAACTATAGATCAATGCTCAATGTTCGCACGTTTCACCTCATACTTTTTCTACTGGTATTTTCTTAGCATCCAAAAGAATTCACACGTATCGGTGACATATATTACGTAAGTAAAGGTTTCTTGAAAACAATCAAGTTTTTTTTTTTAGTAATTTCATTAATGCTCAAGTTTGTAATTTATAGATGAAAATAATTTGGAAATTAATTCAATTGGTTTTCTAAAATTAATCCGAATCTGTTTATTATTCTGGGAGTCAAATCAATGGCGGTATTTAAATCGAAATTGTTTAGTCAGTAAGAGTGCTATTATGGAAAATATGAATCTATTGCAGTACATTCTAAATTCTATTAATACAAAATGATTGATACCGAAGGTACCACCAGTAAAGAAGTTATCTGCAGCTTCGATCAGATTTTTGATACTCACCACAT